AATTAAAAACTGGTTAAAATGTTGAGAACGAGACTCTGGATATGATGAAAGAGGATTTATCACCTCCATATGAGGACCATATATGACAACTGATCCAGAGGGTCGCAGCTTTGGGAAAACCGCTTCCAAAACTGAAACAGGGTCCACCTAAAGAAAGGAAAATCGTACAAAACTTAGAACTGGGTAAGATAAGAACTCACTGTTCTCGTAGCAATTATTAATGCGTCAACCCCTTCTTCAAGCAAAGCCAGTCCCCGCTTTTCTCTGGCTAATCGATCAGCTTTTCGAGCTAAAGAGGTGCCTTCTGCTGCCTAAGAAGTTTTTTTTTTTTGGATTTTGGCACAGACGCTTGCATGCTTTACTATAATAAGATACATCTCCAGCGCCCTCCTCCTCATCCATTGGTTCATCCTCTATAGGATTTTCTTTGATATCATCAGTCTGTTTTGCTGTTCCAAGTAATGAAGCTATGCGGACCGGTAAAAATGTAGAGAATACCTAATAATATGCAGACTTGACATAATCTGAGCAAATTTTCAGTTCTAAGGTAATACAGATACCTCCTCACTGAAGTTCATACTATGAACGCATGGAATGGATTGTGCTATGAGACCTCGATGAAGATGAATGCATGAACCTTGGCCGGCAAGTCGATCAACAACCGCAGCGGAAATCAGGCCTAGCACCTGTAAGCGCAAATAGTATTTGCGGTGATTCAAGATTCCTAAATACCCATCTTGTGCAAATAATCAAAATACGGTTGGACAAGAGGAAATAAAGAATATTTTATAGCAGAATATTGAATATATATAGATGATTGTGAAAATAATTGAGAAGAAAAACATGCAATCAACTATTGAATCATTGAAATAACTATTTAAAAAGCGTTGGGATAAAAACAATGAATATCCATGCACTTCGTTCGTTATCTTCAGTATAAGCAAAAAATTATAGTAAGGATGTAACAGTACCGAACCTTTAGAATTAGTTAAAAGGAAGAAATTTCAGATATTGCAGAGGGTAGATTTCTTACCTGATCGAATACAACACAATTTTTGCCATGGTGAACGTCTGCTAGCTGAATAATCATTCCCAACTGATCGACTCTAAACGATCAAAACTTGTTCTTGTTTAGACTATAAATTAGAGTAAAGTGTAGTTAGCATGAAGCTAAACAACTGAAAAAGTAGAAATGAATAAGTTATAGTAATCTAGAAAGCAACCTCAAGTTAGAAACTCGTCCGCAGTCTTTCATATAATAAGATCTACAAAGTAGTCGAATCGTAGGTTTGAGAATCAGAACTCTAGAAATCAAAAATTTCACACGAGAATATTAGAATTTGTTATTGTTTGAACTCCTGGAAAATAAAAAGAGCACCTGTCAGAATGTTTTTTTGTTTTCCTTCGAATATACTTGCTTTTGGAATATTCTGTACGTGCACTAAACGATTTGCTACCTTCTACTAATTTGGAGACCTGAAATGGCAGGGTAACAGATCAAAAATTAGTCAGACTTTCGCTATTGACTGACTAATTCCCCAGCTGAGATCCCTTGGTCCTTGAGAGAAAGAACATCTTCTTGACTGAGCTTTTGAAGAGCCTAAATAGAAGTATGCTTTTGTGAAATATTGATTTCCATAGGTAAACGTACTTGTGCAGGGTTCAGATCTTGTCCTTCTTGATTACATTCCTCCAACACCGTCGATTCGCTATCAGCGCTACCATTAACGTCCCGCAGCTCTTAAAATGCTGGATAAAAGGCCGTAAAAAGGCATAAATGTAGTAAAAGAATTCACCAACACTTACCAATATCCCCCACACCTTCTTCTTGGACAAGTTGAGCAGCACAGACAGGAATTGCTTTTCCAGACGAAACTTCGAAAAGACCATAAGGATGACCAAGAACACTAAAAAGAGTTCTTAGTATTGAATGGCGCAGAAGCCAAGCCCACATTAAAATGGTGGGAAAAATCCTAATGAATGTAGTATGACAGCATCTTTACCTAGGGCTACAGAAGTAGTTAACATGACAGACATTTTGAAAAGGATGTGATAATGATCAACAACTACTTTAGAATAAGAAACGGAAGATTAATTGAAAATGGCTAACGGAAACTTTAACAAAAACAAGTTTTACTTATTT